TTTACATAGAGGCCAGGAAAAGATCGTTGTCACCTATTAAAGCAGCATTAAGTACAGGAAAAAGGGGGCACTTCATTTCAAGTAAAAAGGTACGGCACAATTTTTCCCTTTTACATATGCATTTCACAGCATCTGGCACATGACTCCATGCTGAAACCCTAAACTCAAATTTCTGGAACTAAATACTAATATCCTACAATCTGACCCTACATACCTACGAACAAACCCATTTTGCAAACACTCCACACACAAATCCGAAGAGTCAGATCTTCCACACATTTGGTCTTATTGCTTGAAGGGTGTTAATTTCAGCTTCCATTTCCCTCCTAGCTCGTAATAGACTAGGAATCAGTTCATTCGATCTCTCACACATTGGAGGGTCACACCACATAAAGAAGGTGCATTCACCCACATCTTGGCTTCAAGGACAAGTGAGAAATAGAAGATAAAGAAAGCATAATTTATCCATATCTCATTTTGTAATGCCTCGGGAGCTAATGAAACTATTTTAGTAAAATTTAATTGTCTCAAATCCCAAGGATCATACCAAAAATTCGAGTTCCTTTTGAATCAATGACATGTATATGAGAGAAGCAAGAAGGTCAATCTCTTTCAAACATACGACATCGATTCTGATAATGCAATGTAATTCGACTTTCCTATCGATTCGAATGAATATTCCTTTTTGTGGAAGTCAATCTTTGCCTAATAGGCAAGATGAAAGCAAGTTACAAATTCCATCTAAGTAGGACATATATTTCTATTACTATAAAATTCATAAATGAAGTAGATGATGGTGTGATTATCATTATCCTTCTTGTAGTGACGAACCTTCTATGTATTTTTAAGAAAACGAATTTGTCCATTTTTTTGGGTCTCAACGATGATCAAGGATGAAAGCATGTCCTCTAAATACTAACAACATAGTAGATGACATTTCCATATGTAATTGTCAAATGATATGTGTCACGTCTTAATGCCTCCAAGTTGCTTGAGAATCTCGTAGTGCTCACATGTGGTGGAGCCAATGCTGGTTGATGTCTAATGGCCAAATGGATGGTTTTAGACAAGTAACATGATGTGTTACTTGTGGGTTGAGTGGTTTTAGATGACTACATGATATGTTATTCATGTTTTTTTATGGTGATGACAGAAAATGGTGTGAAATGATTTTAGATGAGTAACATAATGTTTTGCTCGTGTTTTTTGGCAATCGTGATGATAAGCAGTGTTATGCAATTGTTTTAAATGTGTATATATGTTACTCGTGCTTTTTGGTGATAATATTTCAGATGTCAATATAAGTCCTTGTGTGTTTTTTGTTGTGGTGGTGGTGACATATAGTCATGCAAGTGATTTTAGACGAATAACAAAATATTAAAATAGAAGATAAAGAAAGCATGATTTCTCCATATCTCATTTTGCAATGCCTCGGGAGCTAATGAAACTATTTTAGTAAAATTTAATTGTCTCAAATCCCGAAGGATAATACGAAAAATTCGAGTTCCTTTTGGATCAATGACATGTTTATGAGAGAAGTAAGGTCAATCTCTTTCAAACATACGACATCGATTCTGGTAATGCAATGTAATTCGACTTTCCTATCGATTTGAATGAATAATCCTTTTTGTGGAGTTTAATCTTTGCCTGATAGGCAAGATGAGAGCAAGCTACAAATTCCATCTAAGTAGGACATGTATTTCTATTGCTATTAAATTCATAAATGAAGTATTGATGGCGTGGTTATCGTTATTCTTCTTGTAGTGAAGGATCTTGAGTTAAATGTTTAATTGGCCACTGAACTTATTATCATGTCACGGACTGGCCACTGAACTTTCAAACTTGTTCCACTGGCCACCGAACTTCACTCCGTTCAACTCCATCAGTCGCCCATTTAAAATCGTTAACAGACACGCCTACATGGATGACGAGAAGTTGAGTTGGCAGTTAAATACTTCCAAATATGAACTTAATTGCCAAGTCAGCTCCAAATCATCACTGCTAAACACGCCTTTCATACACGCTTTAATAGAACAACATGCGTCCTTACCATTACTTTGAACAAACTAGTGATTTATGAAAAGACATACCCAAATCTACTTCAAGGGACATTCGAAACCCTAAGCCCCAAATCAAGAATATCAATTACCCAACCATTGTTGATCACTCGACGAGCCAAACCAAAGAGTGGAGAAACAACACCCGTTTCATTTTATTACATTTACGTCGGAGCAGTTGATGTGCATATGGGATGCACAACACGAAGGTAATTCCAAACTTTTTTTTTTTTT